CGCAGCGGCTCATATATATATATATAGAGCATAGCATATTTTCACTTGTCTTAGCAACACTTCATTTGTGTTTATTGTTCAATCTAGGAGCCCTTGGAAGGAACTTGACTTTTGAAACTGCGAGGTCCCTCACGCGGCAGCTTCCGGCGGGCTTGCAGCGCCAGGAGAAGGCGATGAATTTCATCCTTGATACTTGGTGCCTTTAGGGTTTAGGGTTTAGGTGCCCGGTTTGGGCTTTCGGAGTGTTGGTGAGGTTCAGGGTTTTGGGGTTCAGGTTCTTATGAAGTGGTGTCGATATGGATTTTTTGAAGGGGCCCAGGAACAAACATTTCGGTGCTTGGGTGAGTGCTCAAGCTAGAAGCCCCGAACTTCCGAAGCCTCAAACAGCAACCGACTTCGTGGCATTTGTAAACCCTAAACCCTAAACCCAAACCCTTGCCATCGACACCTAGGATACCTTCCCATCAGCAGTTCCATCAGCCGCCAGCTCCTTGGGTTTAATCTTGTCGGGTTTAGGGTTTTAGTTTGGGGCTCAAGTACTGTTATAAGATATAGTAAGCCGTGCTTTTCTTCCTACTCTCTGATCCTAATAAAGACGTACTATGGACCATACCTCTAATGTCGGCGGCAATACTGTGTCTTCCTAGCGCAGGTATATCATGTAGTTATGGGCCTTTTTGGTGTTTCTTCGAGCCTCCGAGGCTTGGGCAGCAACGTGAAGAAGTTGGTTCGAAACCTCTTGAGGATGCAAGGTACCTTCAGCTTTGCCCAGATGTTGCAGGGTGAAAACGTTCCTTTGTCATAGTTGGGCAACGTTTCAGAATGCTATGGGTGCTTAAACTCACTAAGATCACAATAAGGAATCGAAGTCTAAGTTTTTGAGCTCTATTCGAACCATGAACTAGGTGCCGGCCAACATTCGCGATCTGAAAGAAGCCATCCAACCGCGTGGAGGTGAAGAGTTGCTGAAATTCTATGTGCTATATTTGCTTGGCTTCATGAGTGGCATCGCAGGTGGCAAGGGGTCACGTTTCATGACGCAGGGAAATGCAAGGACCACGCTTTTGGGCCTGTCAACCCTCCAGCACATCCTTGAACAAGATCCGGCTCCTTTGTATTGGACCTACATTCACTACCGCGGCTTGGAGCTCGGGCGGCGTGCGAAGACCCCCGCAGACCTTGCTCTCCTTCGGCTTGCCTGCAATTGCCGGGTGCAGACCTCAAAGGATCTCGAAGCCTTGCAAAATGCTTGGGATTTTCTTACCGGCCCCGAGCAGCAAGAGTTGACCAAGAACTTGCTTGCGGACGGCATCGCAACACGGGCAGTGGTGTGCGAGTTCCTTCCGTTGTGTTTGGAGCGAGCTTGCTCCAATCCGTTCGTCAAAGTCTCTGCGCTCCTGCAGGTCCTCGTCGAGCTACTTAAGGCCTTGCCGGCTGAGTAGGTAACCTTTAAGATTTGGGGGCTATTCGAAAGGTTTCCTTTTTTGGGGCAAGTGCCCTGAGGGCATGTGCACTGCAGCCCCTCCTCAGAAAGGGGGGAAGGGTACTCCGCCCCTAAGAAGGCAGTCCATGCAGCTGCGGAGCAGGGAGACTTCATCGTCACAGTGGACCTAGCAGACCTGGCAGCCTTCATTCTCATGGTTCGCAACAGCTATGTCTTTGAGACTTGCCTGGCGCGTGCCACGCTCACGATGCGGGAAGAAAGATTTTATGTGGATGTCTCACAGAATAATTGGCGAAGAGTGAGCGAGCCTGCCACGGACGTGGTCTTGCTCGCCTCATCTGTCCGTGAGCTCGTGCACAAGTCGAGGAAGGCAGATGATGCGAATCTGACGGCTGAACAGAAAGTTTTGGTGCAGTGCCACCTCTAGTCTCGGCTGCTTCGATCGGATTGATTTCACAGCGGCTCTATGAAGGGACGACTCAAGGCTTGCACCATATTTTTTCTATGAGACCCATATCCCTTCTCTTCAAGGTTTCAGCGGAATTCGTCACAGATCGTTGAACATGCAGAGTCATTGGCAAAGCCATGGCCATCGTCTCACGGAAGTGTACAGTGATAGCAGTTTTTCAAAACTCTGTTAAACAACGGAGCTGACGCTGCGCGTCTGTTGCATCGGCATTAGACCCAAAAGAGCCGCGCTCTCCGTCGTGGACTGGCTCATGGCCACAGGGCACAGGCACTCTTGTCCAGCATAGGGTTTAGGGATGTTAGGGTTTAGCGATTTTGGGGTTTAGGGTTTATAGGGTTTAGGCATAGAAGCTGCAAAGATGCATGCGCGCTGTCTGTATTGAGAGTTGTCAGCTTGCGAAGTTCCCTCCCGGACTCCCGGGCCTCCTTTCTTTCACGCCATGCCGATCTGGGCCGTCTTGTGCTACGCCAACACATTCGTGGAGGTTTCGTCTCAGCCGTCCGTTGTAAGACGTCAGTAAGACTTAGCACTCTGCCTTCTGCCCAGAGGCTCAGGAGACCCAGTAGATGCATGCGCACGAAGGGACTTCGGGCTAACCTACTGTCTCGTCCAGGTGCTGATGGGGCTTGTTCTCTCCGCGAAGCCAGAGACCATGATCCTCGACCTGAAGACGGACTGCTGAAAGATGCATTTCCAAGAAGGTATTGTCTTGTAATTACACATCAGTGCATCTGTACCTGCATTATGTGCATGTTCGACATGTCAGACTCTGCACTCTGCAGTGAGCATAGATGTCTGCAATGCGAGAGGGAAAACAACCGTGCTCTGCAGGAGAACCGACCCAGTCCAGCCACACTTTCGGACAAGAAGTGGGGCTTCGCCTTAGGCTGCGGACCTTGAGCGAGAAATTACTGCACTGTACGACTACACGCTCCTATACTATACTACACTACACTACACTACACTATGCTGTATCATACGATTGAGAAACGACATCTCCGCAGCTGGAAACCTGCGAAGCCGGATCATGACTGGAAGGCAGTGCACTTTGTGCGATCGGCGTCTCCACGTTCTTTGCACGTGACGCCACCTCGTGGGAAAGTCAAAAGGCCAGAGCCTTGCACAGGGAGCTGAACAAAATTATCGACGCCACGCACGTGTCAGAGTCATTGTCATTCGCTGGTACCAAGCTCACCCATTCGGCAATTTGCTCAAAATCCGACCGGGCCCAATTGAAAGTGCTAGGTCTGCAGAGTACTGTGAATGTCGCCAGGCTGTATGTCTTTGCAATGCAACCTTCCACAGCTTGGTGGTCGGTCAGAAGGCCGGCGCGGGTCAGCGGGAAGGCCAGACTCTCTCTCTCTCGGGAATGCCCGATCTGGACCACATATCTCACGGATACTCCATGTAGAGTAGACAGCCAAACTCCTGCAGTAGGTTGTGCTTCATTCTTGACCGAACCGGGCTGTGTGCATGCCTCCTTCTGCAGTGATGGGCGGAGCTGAGGACCATGTTTCCATGGCAACTAGGTTGTTATATTCTAGACCACAGCTCTGAGTAAGCAATGCCCCTGAACTTGAGAGGCCAGGGCTGTCGTGGGCGGTGAAAAGCTGGACGTGCCGCCGACTGCCGCTCAATAACAAGCATACGCAGTCAATCTCAGTATATCTCAGTCATCTCTTCCTGAGTGCCGAAAGAGATAGAGAGAGAAAGAGAGAGAGACAAACGTCCTTGCACAATGGCATTGCGTATTCTTCAGGGTTCCTTACACCCGCTGTTTATGATACTGAGCTTGAAAGGTGGTGATTTAGCGACGGAGAACCCCTGAAACGCTCAAAGGACAGGCTGGAAGACATGAGCTAAAGCCACTTGGGTGGTCGTCAAGATTGTGGTCCCTTTTTGGGTCCTTATTGTGGCAACCACCCACTTGCAGGAGAATGTGATGTTGCCCTGCCGAAACTGAGGTAATTCACCTTCCACTCGCCCTTTGCTTCATCCTCTTCGCCTTTGGTCAGATCTGATGCTGGGTTTATCCGACCCATGAGTGCGTAATCACAAACCAACTTAGAGCCGTTCAGAGGCTTCTGCTGCTGACAGCATCCATGCACATCGCAATTGATCAGACACAGCTTTAGCTCGAAAGGAGGCTTTGGTGTATGGGATCTGTTTCCTGCGGCTCCGGCTAGCCGTATCCCGTGCAAAGAAGCTATTTGCCAATGCTCTGAATCAAGAAGGCAGTTTCTGCGGTGCTTGGCACCTCCATCCACTGGTAGCTATATGTGATTGTGGACGCCTAGTTTGCGTCACATGGCCGCGCCAACCGACACGGAAGCATGGGCAAAGGGAAACGAACCGACGGTCTTTTCAAATCTCGCTGGATGCCACCAACATTTAGTTCTGACTTGCACCAGTGCTTGCCTCCGGCTCCACGTCCAAGATGCTGCGGGTGCCTCCCTAATGATGGTGTGTTTCTCTGCACTGTCTGGACCACGTCAGGCAGGCAAGCCCCAAGCAGCGTTACAGTTCGCAACATGAGCCCCTGTTATTCTCCTTATGCTGCAATGTGTGCACACATAGCCGTGCTTTAACGTCTCCTGTGCACTGATGCCATGGCCAGCGTAGCGTGATGAAAGAGGAAGAGGTCCACATCTCCCTAAGCTCTAACTCCCTAAACCCCTAAACCCCTAGACCACTAAACCCCTAAACCCGTAGACCCTA